GTATAAAGACTGCCCCGACAGGACGCACGGAAAGAGGAGCGATGGGAAAGAGTAGGGAAACGGGAAGAGTCAGTAACAGACGGGCCCCTTACTGACTGTGCTCTGTCGCCCAACCCCCACCATCCCCACCGAGTCGTGGTTCCGATTCATGCAATCGATCGCACTCGGACGAATAACGGGGGTGAACATGTGGATCACCCTGTGCTGGTTGTTGGCACGATGTTGAAGAAATTTTTAAAAATGTTCGTCGATGGCGGGGCTAGCCATAGCCTCTTCAATCTGGCGACAGCAAAAAAATGCAAGTTGCAGCTGGACAGGTGTCTGCCCGAAATTGACGCTCGCCTCGTGGATGGGACGCCTCTGGCGATTATGGAAGAAACACAAACGGTGCGGATTGAGTGCGGCGACGATTTCGGCTTCAGCATGAAGTTTCTTGCGACGACGTTGGATGGATGCGACGTGCTCTTAGGACGCGATTGGCTGCGACGGCACAACCCGATAATCGATTGGACGACGGGATCGTGCAGCATCAGCAGGCACGAGGGGCTGATTACTCTGCCCGCGTGGACTCCGGACTGCATCGAGTCTACATGCATCAAAGCCATCACCATTACACGCTGCGTCAACCGGGGTGCGCAGCTGTACTCCGTTCACCTGCGCGAGTTGGCAGCCGACACCGACGGAAACGACATCGACAAGTTGTGTGCAGCTGTACCATCCGAACTGGCGTAGCTGATTCGACAATATCCCGACATTTTCCTGGACGACCTGCCACCTGGACTACCACCCGAACGACCCGAAGACCACAGAATTACCCTCGAGCCCGGCGCGCAACCGACTGTTCGTACACAGTGGCGGTTGACTCAGCCCGAACTTGCGGAGCTTCGAAGTCAACTTGAGTCACTGTTGGAGAAGGGCTTCATCCGACCCAGTACTTCGCCCTTCGCCGCACCGATCCTGTTCACACCGAAGAAGGACTGAGGCATTTGCATGTGCATCGACTATCGCGCGCTCAACCGGGTTACCATCAAGTCTCGCTATCCCATCCCACGCACCGACGACCTCCTCGACCAACTTCGCGGCGCTCGCTACTTCTCGAAGATTGACCTACGCGGCAATTATCACCAGATCAGGGTCTTCGCTGACGACTGTCACAAGACTGCTTTCCAAACCCGCTACGGCAGTTACGAGTTCACCGTGATGCCTTTCGGCCTCACAAATGCGCCATCAACATTTCAACGCACCATGAACAGGGTATTTCGCGATCTGTTGCTAGACAAGTGTGTTATCGTCTACTTGGATGATATTTTGGTTTTTAGTAGGACACGCGAGCAGCATCTCCGCAACCTTGACGCAGTGTTTAAGCGGCTGCAGAACAACCGACTCATCACCAAGGGCTCTAAGTGCGAGTTTTTTAAGCAAGAGTTGGAGTTTTTGGGGCACGTCATCTCACGCGACGGCATAAAAATTCATCGACCCGAAGAAAATCAAGACCATCCAGGAGTGGAAGGCCCCGACTAATGTCACGGAACTTCAGAGTTTTCTGGGGTTTGTGAATTATATTCGGCGGTTTATCCCGAATATGGCGGGGATAACCGGCCCGCTGACCGACCTGCTGCACAAGGACAGGAACTTCGTGTGGGGGGAGGAGGCTGAGGCGGCTTTCGAGGAGTTGAAGCAGTTACTGGTGTCCCTTCCGGTTCTTCGCATCGCGGATCCATCCAAGCCGTTCGAAGTTGTCACTGACGCCTCGGATTTCGCCATCGGCGCAGTGCTGCTCCAGGATTTTGGCAACGGCTTACAACCGATCGCCTACGAGTCACGCAAGTTGCAGGCAGCCGAGCGCAACTACCCGATTCACGACAAGAAGATGCTCGCCATCATCCACGCGTTTAAGATGTGGCGCTGCTACATGACAGGCGCCGATGTCACTGTGCGAACGGACCACAAGTCATTACTGTACCTTCGCGTGCAACCCAACCTCAACCCGCGACAAATCCGGTGGCTGCTGCAACCACGACAGCGCCCGGCCGGCCTGCTGCAACCCCTCGAGCCACCCGAGTGACCGTGGCAACAGGTGACAATGGATTTTGTCACGAGGTTGCCAACTGGCGCGACCGGCAACGATGCAGTACTCGTCGTCGTCGATCGCCTCACGAAAATGGCGCACTTCGCTGTCGAAATAGCAGGCTGAAACGATAGAACAGGAAAGAGGGGTTTCACTAGCAGGCAGTTGAGTACATATAGCAAACCCTAATTTGGGCTGTACTCGCTACAGAGTACCCCACTGCAGGCTAGACAAACATCACATTCTGACACACCCCCATAGTCAAAGTGGGGTATAATCAGCACAGCAAGCAGTTATAGCAATAGTTCACAAACTAGAGGCTTTCACAAAGGGCAAGTGAGGAGGAGGAGAAACTGTGGGGGCAAGAAGATGGGAGGCGACGGCTGAAGCTGCAGACACACGCGCAACAGAAGCGCGCAGCACTGTCGCTACCAGGCGCAGAGCCCCGGACTACACGGCGACAGACACTCGGGCAACAGGAACGGCGTGCATAGTGGCTACCGGAGCACTCAACCTCCGGACTACAGGAGTAACTGGCTCCGCACTAAGCTGCAGGAGCAACGGACCCACGGGCGACTGGCGCACCAGACTCGCTGGGCTACCGGAGTACTCAACCCCCGGGCTACTGGCGCTGCAGACGTCACAACGGCTACCTCCTGTCAACCTCCCCCAACTGTCCCACACCCCTTTCACACACTCCCTGCTGTACCCCTGGCACTCCTCACACGCCACCCCCCTCGTACCACTCCGACGGCTCCAACACATCCACCCCCCTCAGCGGTAGCTGCAGCAGTGGGAGACGGAGGAGGAGGAGGAGCAGGGGACGGCGCACACACCCGTCACCCCCATACTCGTCACCCCCATACTCGCCACCCCCACACTCGCCACCCCCAAACCCTAACACAGGCAGCACGGGGCAGGAGCGGGGAGGAAGCAGCCCCGCGGCGCACGGGGCAAGGGGCGGCGCGCGGGTCGACTGGGGTGGGCGCGGAGGTGTCCGGGGGCGGCGCGCGGGTCCACGGGAGGGGCGCGCGGTTCGACGGGGACGGGCGCGCGGGTCCCCGGGGGCGACGCGCGGGTCGACGGGGGCGCCATGGCGGGCGAGGGGGGGCCGCGTGCGGGTTTCCTAGGGCGCCATGACGGACGACGGGGGAACCGCGCACGGGTCGACGAGGAGCCGCGCGCTGGTCCCCGGGGTGACGCGACGGTGGGAAATCGCCGCGCGCCGCAGGGCGCACGGCAGGCAGAAAACCGCCGCGCGTTCGGAGCGCGCGGCGAGCAGAAAACCGCCATGCGCCCCGAGCGCGTGGCGGGAAGAAAAAACGTCGCGCGCCACGGGGCGCGCGACAGACAGGACAGCAGCGGAAGCTAACGGTGGGCCCACAGGCCAGGAGCGTAACCGCTCTGATAGCATGTCGAAATAGCAGGCTGAAATGATAGAACAGGAAAGAGGGGTTTCACTAGCAGACAGTTGAGTACATATAGCAAACCCTAATTTGGGCTATACTCGCTATAGAGTACCCCACTGCAGGCTAGACAAACATCACATTCTGACATTTGCACCGTGTCGTACAATCACAGCCGAAGAAACTGCGCGCCTCTTCATCTCGACCGTTGTTCGCTTGCACGGCATCCCCTCCGCGATCATCAGCGACAGGGACCCGAAGTTTACATCGAATTTCCGGAAGGAGACATGGCCGCAGTACGGCACAAGGCTACAGTTCTCGTCGGCCTAGCACCCGCAAATTGACGGCCAGACCGAGCGGACCAATCAGACGATGGAGCAGCTCATCCGTACGAACTGCCCCGACCCTGCTCGTTGGGAAAATTCACTCCCGATGCTGGAATTTGCTTACAACAACGCCCCATCCAGCACGACCAACCATTCCCCGTCCTTCCTGAATTACGGGATAGATCCGGTGGTACCCACAGCAACGACTCCTGAGAACCCGGTACCACGCTCGCAACACTTCGTGACGGAACTTCAGGCAATCCGCGAGAAAGCTGTTGAAGCCATCCGAAAGGCTAACGCAACTGCCCGCAAATACTCGGATTTGCTACGCCGAGAAATCACCATGGCAGCAGGGCAACTAGTGCTTCTCAACACCAAGAACCTCCGCCTGCCCGGCTCTTCAAACCCTTTTCCTTACTGGGGTTTACTCAACCGCGTACAACCCCAACTTTCGGAAGTGCACGTTCGGCCACTTTGCTTGCTGCCGAAGCAACCTCGCGTCGCCTTCGGTTTTCCTTTGCCCAACCTGCACCCAACCTCGTGTTCCCGAGGTTCCCGCCTAGCTAGGTTGACCCGCTATATAATCGCATGCCTTCTCATTGTATCGTCAATTGATTCAGTCACAAGCTTCGTTATTCGTTTTCCGCGCAACTCTGTTTGACAACTCATAACACTCGGCCTTTTGGCTAAGATCAAGTGTAGCATCTGTTCTTATCAGTTTAATATCTGATACGTGGACCATCGGTCCACATGATATTAAATTGCTTGTCAATGGACCGCTTTCGGGGGCAGGTGCCAATGGCCAGCTTGCTGGTCGGCCCTGCGAGCGTCACCTCGGTATTGCACTAAATTCGAGGAAGGCGCACCCCTCCCCCAATGGGGGTCCAAACAAAAATATGAAATGGGATATGATTCATAAATGCCATGCACAACAGAAAGCATTTGGCAACAGTGAAAAGAAGCTGCTGTGCTGGAAACTCCAGGACCAGAAAGCAACACATGGGCCTCTTGAATTTGAACAACACATGGGTCTTTTTGCAAATGTTGTCCAGAAGGCATTCTCCAAGCCACTCCGAGCATATGGCATCAGTACGACATTGCAGGATGTTGGACACGTTGCGTCGTTGAATGTCGCCCCAACAATGATAAATTCGTTTGTCAGATGTCTAACAAAACAGCAAAAAAAGTAGACGGAAATTGTTAAATGCCGCCTCTAGCAGCACCACCAGCACCAGCAGCAGCATCCCCCTTCTCATCCTCCTCTTCACTCATCCCCTCACTGTCCTCCTCATAAGCAAGTCGCCCCGGCGTGCCCTCCATGCGCGTGGGCACGGCCACCCACTGCATGCCCGTCTGCTCGTCCTCCTCCAGGATCTCCGCTGGCCGCCTCCCCCGCCCCTCCCGCACCGCATGCCCATGTGATGACGTCTGTGCCTGCTGGCCCTCGTCCGAATCATCGTCCTCCGATATCTGAGGGGGAAGGAGGAGGCAAGGAGAAGCGTGGGAAGTGTGGGAGGAGGCACAGCGAGATGTGGTGAGAGAGGATGAAACGCACACCTGGAAGGGTCTAATGGAGCGACAAGAGGGGTTGAGACATGCGTGGAACGTGATGCCAACCATGCCCTTCCCTCCCCCCCCCCCCCCAAGCAGTTACGAGTGCCAACTCTTTTCACCATTTGTGCTTCATTCCACACCCTTCACCCCCCTTCATCCCTTTCACACGTGACTACTTGCGTACTTTCAGGTTGTTTTTGCTTGATTGCAGCGCATTTTGCATTAACCTCGAGTGCAAAAGCATGCATCGTTCCCCGAAACAGCTTACCTCGTCCTCTTCCTCCTCCTCCTCCTCCTCTTCCTCTTCCTCCTCCTCCTCCTCTTCATCCTCCTCCTCCTCGCCAATATCAACAGCGTCCTCGCCTGTCTCCTCCAGCTCTTGCAGGAACTGATGGGCACGCACCACTCACACGCACGCACACACCAGGTAGGCACCAAAGACGACGGAAAAAGAAAGTCAGACGAGAGAGGTCCGGCAAGAGAGTGACGAGAGAGGTCCGGCAAGAGAGTGACAAGGGGGGAAAGTGACAACAGGGAGTGAGGGGTTTCTGAGTTGGTGGAAAGAAAGCAGACAAAATTGTGCAATGGCAACAAGCATGCACAGGGGTGCACACCTGCATGCACAGGGGTGCACATCTGCATGCACAGGGGTGCACTACCACAGGCATGACCGCAATTGAGCAGGAACAACACAACACGCCCTCTTCCTCCCATGCCCCTCTTCCTCCCATGCCCCTCTTCCTCCCATGCCCCTCTTCCTCCCATGCCCCTCTTCCTCCCATGCCCCTCTTCCTCCCATGCCCCTCTTCCTCCCATGCCCCTCTTCCTCCCATGCCCCTCTTCTTCCCATGCCCCTCTTCCTCCCATGCCCCTCTTCCTCCCATGCCCCTCTTCCTCCCATGCCCCTCTTCCTCCCATGCCCCTCTTCCTCCCATGCCCCTCTTCCTCCCATGCCCCTCTTCCTCCCATGCCCCTCTTCCTCCCATGCCCCTCTTCCTCCCATGCCCCTCTTCCTCCCATGCCCCTCTTCCTCCCATGCCCCTCTTCCTCCCATGCCCCTCTTCCTCCCATGCCCCTCTTCCTCCCATGCCCCTCTTCCTCCCATGCCCCTCTTCCTCCCATGCCCCTCTTCCTCCCATGCCCCTCTTCCTCCCATGCCCCTCTTCCTCCCATGCCCCTCTTCCTCCCATGCCCCTCTTCCTCCCATGCCCCTCTTCCTCCCATGCCCCTCTTCCTCCCATGCCCCTCTTCCTCCCATGCCCCTCTTCCTCCCATGCCCCGCTTCCCCCCATGCCCCTCTTCCTCCCATGCCCGCTTTCCCCCATGCACTCACCGCCTCCTCCTCCTCCTGCTCGCGTGCCATGATGGCCTCCATCTGCTCCTGCGTCACCACCCGGCCTTGCTGTGGCGGGGCGAGAGATGGAGAGTGACACGGGGGAAGGGCGAGTGGAGCCAGGGCCCACGGAGACAGTGGGAGGGAGAGGGGAGTGGGGGGATCATTGAAGTGCACACGGGCCATGGCAGTCCCCCACCGCACACCGCACAAAGAAACAACACGGGCAGCCCCCCACCGCACACAGTGGGCAGCCCCCCACCGCACACAGTGGGCAGCCCCCCACCGCACACAGTGTCCCACCACACCACCGTGTGCCCTGTACCCCAAGCTGCCTTTCCTGTTTCCACCCCCAGCCGTGCAGCTGACTTGATGCATGACGTTGAAGGGGTCCTGGCTGAGCCCACCTGCACGCCTGGCTGGGCCCACCTGGCTGACCGTACCTGGCTGGGCCCACCTGGCTGACCGTACCTGGCTGGGCTGGGCCCATGTGCGCTCCCACCAGCACAGCACTCCTTTTGAGTCGACTCAAAAGCTCCCACGTGCTCATCATAACTACGTCCAGCCCCAGCAGCAGCGCACCTGGCGCACGACGTTGAAAGGGTCCTCGCTGGGCTCGTGGAAGTTGGGTCCGCGGTAGTCCACCACGTGGTCGGGCGCCTGCTCGTAGTTCACCGTTGGGTAGACAGGGTCGCCACCCCACACTGCATGGTAAGGGATAGGCGTGGCACACAAGTGATGGTTGAAGAGAGCATCACAGAGAGCACACTGTGGGGTGGGCAGACAGGGGTGGGTCCGCGGTAGTCCACCACGTGGTCTGGTGCCTGCTCGTGCTTCACCGTGGGGTACACGGGGTCGCCGCCCCACACTGCACGCACGCGGAGGTGGTAGGGGCGGTGGGGGAGAAGAGCACAGCACGCAGGGATGGGCTGGGCTGGGGTGGTCCACCACGTGGTCGGGCGCCTGCTCGTAGTTCACCGTTGGGTAGACTGGGTCGCCGCCCCACACTGCACGGGGTATAGGAGAGAGACTCACAAGGGAGAGGTTGAAGAGAGGAGCACACACAGTATGGGCCGTACAGACGAGGTGCGCGTGGGGTGGGGTAGTCCACCACGTGGTCACGCGCCTGCTCGTAGTTCACCGTGGGGTACACAGAGTCGCCCCACACTGCATAGCACAGAGGGTGGGGAGGGCGGTGAGCGGTACAGTGGGTCGCCGCCCCACACTGCATGGAGAGTGCGATTGGGGCAACAGTGGAGAGCGAGTGGAAGGAAGAAAGGAAGGTGGAGAGGAAGGGGGACAGGAGGAGGGAAGGGGAGCGGGGAGAGGAGAGAGGAAGGGCGAGAGGAGGGGAGAGAGTAGGGGAGAAAGGAGGGGGGAGAGGATGGGAGAGAGTAGGGGAGAGAGGAGGGGAAGAGGAGGGGAAAGAGGAGGGAAAGAGGAGGGGAAAGAGGAGGGGAAAGAGGAGGGGAAAGAGGAGGAGAGAGGAGAGGAGAGAGGAGAGGAGAGAGGAGGGGAGAGAGGAGGGGGGTTCCACTGCCCCTCTGCTACTCACCTCACTTGCACTGCCCCTCACTGCGCTTCACAGCTGCTCACCGCGCTTGCACTGCTCACTGCACTGCGCTGCACCGGCACTCACCGCGCTCGCACTGCTTCTTGTCCACTCGGGTAGCCTGTGAGTCCTTCTGCATCTCATCCTTCTGCTCACCTCTGCCCCTCGTCTCACACACATCCCCTCACCGCACAGCACCGCACAGCACCGCCTCTCACCGCGCTTGCACTGCTCACCGCACTGCACCGCCTCTCACCGCGCTTGCACTGCCTCTTGTCCATGCGGATGGCGAGCGGGTCCTTCTGCAGCCGCACGTCCCTCCCACACATGGCGTTGTACTCGCGCTGGGTCTGGTGGGGTTGGGGGGGAGAGGGCGGTGAGGAGGAAAGAGGTTGGTGAGGGGAAGAAAGGGTGGTGAGGAGAGCAGGAAACTGGTGGGTGGGAGGCAAATCAGCCGCACGTCCCGCCCACACATGGCATTGTACTCGCGCTGGGTCTTTTGAAAGGGGGGGAGATGGTGGAAGAGAAGAGGAGAAAGAAAGTGAAAGAAAGAGATGGTGGTATGGCCAGGCAGAAGAAAGAGGAGCAGAGGACGGGGTGGAAGAGAAAGGGAGGAGTGGCGTGGAAGAGTTGAAGATGAGAGGATGACAGCCATCCATGCGCACACGTGCTGCACATACCACCCATCCATGCGCACATGTGCTGCACATACCACCCATCCATGCGCACATGTGCTGCACATACCACCCATCCATGTGCACATGTGCTGCACATACCACCCATCCATGCACACATGTGCTGCACATACCACCAATCCATGCGCACATGTGCTGCACATACCACCCATCCATGCGCACATGTGCTGCACATACCACCCATCCATGCACACATGTGCTGCACATACCATCCATCCATGCGCACATGTGCTGCACATACCACCCATCCATGCGCACATGTGCTGCACATACCACCCATCCATGCGCACACGTGCTGCACATACCACCCATCCATGCACACATGTGCTGCACATACCACCCATCCATGCACACATGTGCTGCACATACCACCCATCCATGCACACATGTGCTGCACATACCATCCATCCATGCGCACATGTGCTGCACATACCACCCATCCATGCGCACATGTGCTGCACATACCACCCATCCATGCGCACATGTGCTGCACATACCACCCATCCATGCGCACATGTGCTGCACATACCACCCATCCATGCGCACATGTGCTGCACATACCACCCATCCATGCACACATGTGCTGCACATACCACCCATCCATGCGCACATGTGCTGCACATACCACCCATCCATGCGCACATGTGCTGCACATACCACCCATCCATGCGCACATGTGCTGCACATACCACCCATCCATGCGCACATGTGCTGCACATACCACCCATCCATGCGCACATGTGCTGCACATACCACCCATCCATGCGCACATGTGCTGCACATACCACCCATCCATGCGCACATGTGCTGCATGGCGAGCATGTCACCTGCATGGCGAGCATGTCACCTGCATGGCGAGCATGTCACCTGCATGGCGAGCATGTCACCTGCATGGCGAGCATGTCACCTGCACTGCACTGCACTGCACTGCATGACAGCACCACACCTGCATGGCGAGTATCTGGTGCTCCATGGACCGGCCCGCATGTCACCTGCATGGACCCACCCCACCCCACCCCACCCCACCCCACCCCACCACATCCCACCCCACCCCACCGCACCTGCATGGCGAGCATGTCACCTGCATGGCGAGCATGTCCAGGATCTGGTGCTGCATGGGCCGCCCTGTCTCCCTCGCCACGCGCCGCACCGCCTTGAGTGACGTGTCGTGCGGCCATGCCGCCACCCACTCCTGGTAGTATGCCAAATCGCCCAGGCGATGCCGTAACTCCTCCTCCTTGGCCAGTCTGCACATGGGGGAGAGACATAGTGGGAGGGAGGGGGGGACCGCACAAGAGGGTGGGCGCACAAGAGGGAGGTGTCATGCGGCCACCCACTCCTGGTAGAATGCCAAATCGCCCAGCCGATGCCGCAGCTCCTCCTCCTTTGCCAGTCTGGTGGAGAGGTGGGCACATGGGGAGCGCACAGGTGGGAGGGCACATGGGGAGCGCACAGGTGGGAGGGCACATGGGGAGCGCACAGGTGAGAGGGCACATGGGGAGCGCACAGGTGGGTGGGCGCACAAAGGGAGAGGGGGAGTGCACAGGGGAGTGTCATGAGGCCATGGCGCCCACCCACTCCAGTCACGAGTCACAGAAGCTGCACACCTGCCTGCAGGGCTCAATGTGGGAACAAACTAAATGAATCGTTATATTTCCCGCGAGGCGAGGGGCACCCTGGCGCGCACGGGCTCTTCTGAGTCGACAAAATGATCCTTTACCTGATGACCACACGCAACTCCCCCCAGTCTCACAGTACCGCACCTCTTCGTCCAACAGCAGCATGCGGCACACCCGAGAAAGCACGGCTTCTGCTGTGGTGGGCGTGGCACTGTGAAGGTTGATGATCCATCCACCCTCACCCACACCCCCAACCCCCCCCTCCCCACCCACCCCCTCTTCAGTATCCTCCGCCCTCACCCAGTGTCGCACCTCTCATCTGCAAGTGGCTTGCGGCGCACCCTAGCAAGCACGGCCTCTGCCATGGTGGGCTTGTCGCCATGCAGCTTGATATGCCCCGCCTCCGCTGCTGCTAGCGCCATGGCCTGAGAGTTTGGGGGGGGGGGGGGGGGGGAGGGGGGGGAAGGAGAGGAGGGGAGACGGAGGGCTTGAGCACCTGCCACTGCAGAGAGTGGCTCTAGGACGTGGTGGGCTTGTCCCCGTGCAGCCTGATGTGGCCCGCCTCCGCTGCTGCTAGTGCCATGGCCTGCGAGACGGGGGAGAAAGAGCGGGGGCGGCAGGGAGAGGAGGGCAGCGAGAGTGGCTCTAGGACATGGTGGGCTTGTCCCCGTGCAACCTGATGTGCCCCGCCTCCGCTGCTGCCAACGCCATCGCCTGCAGGGTGGAGCGGGGGTGGTTGGGGGGGAGGGGAGGAGCGTGGTTGGAGGGGGAGGAGAGCAGCAGACTGAGTGGGATGCCTCCCCGTGCAGCCTGATGTGCCCCGCCTCCGCTGCTGCTAGTGCCATCGCCTGCAGCGAGAGAGGGAGGTGAGTGGGGGGAAGAGGGGGGCGCGGTATGGGAGGGAGTGAAGAGGGTGGGGAGAGAGAGAGAGGGGCAGGGAGACGACCTGGTCATCTGCTGCTGCTGCTGCCAGCGACATGGTCTGGGGAAAGGAGGGGAGGGAAAAGGGAAACGGCGGGGAGGAGGATGCGCATGTGATGTGAGAATGGCGTGTGGCGAAGCAGTGAGTGCATGCTGGCCACACCCCACCCCACCCCACTCCACTCCACACACCACTCCACACACCACTCCACACACCACACCACACCACCCACCACACCACACCACACACACACACCACACCACACCACACCACACCACACCACACCACACCACACCACACCACACCACACCCCACCCCACCCCACCCACACCACACTACCCAGACCCCATCCCACCGCATCTGTGGTGGCAGCCTCGTCATGGCATCCCATCCCATCATGTAAGCACCCACCCAAGACATCCCACACACCCCATTATGTCACAAAGCACACCCCACCCCACCCCACCCCACCCCACACCACCCCACACCACCCACATCCCATCCCACCGCAGCGCACCGCATCGGTGGTGGCGGACTCCTTCTGCCAGGCCGTCCAGATCTGCTGCTCGCCCTCATTCTTCTGCCAGTTCCACCACACCTCCTCCTCCCCCACCACCTCCAACGGCCCCACCTCCCCCACAAACGCCTCCCCCCGTGCCCACGAGCCCACTCCCCCCGCAGCCCCCTTCTCCTGCGCCAACCCCTGCCCGTCCGCGCCCAACAGCTTTCCCCTCCCTGCTGCAGCAGCAGCAGCGGCGGCGGCCTCTCTCTCGCGGTCCTCCAGCGCCCACGCTGCTCGCATGCGCGCCCACCCGCTCAGTCCCCTCAGCGCCGCGCTCTCCGCCTCCCACACCTCGTCCTCCTCCTCCTCCCAGAACCGCCCGCCCCCCTCGCTGCGCGCCAACCCCCCCTCCTCCTCTTCCTCTCCCTCCTCCTCTCCCTCGTCTTCCTCTTCCGCGTCGTCCCCCTCCCCCCACTTTTCCTCCTCGTCCTCGCCCCCGCTTCCCTCTCCGCCATCCCCCATGCCCGCAGGCACGTACTCGCGCCCCTCCGCGCGCGCCATGTGCGCGCGCACGCGCTCCAGAGGGTCCGCCTCGCCCACGAGCAGGTTGCGCGCGCGGGGGAAGCGCTCCCCCTCGTTGGGGCGCGAGCAGACGGGGCGGATGTAGATGAAGGGGGAGGGGTACGACTGGTGCGACGCGAGGTAGTTGGGATTCGCGGATTCTTTTATATCCGTTATAAGGAACTCCTCCGCGTCTCTATACTCCTCCACTGCTGCGCGCACTGCCTCCGCTTCCGCCTCCGCGCGCCTCCGCGCCTCCACCTCCCGCCGAACCTCCTCCGCCGTCCGCCAACCCCTGTCATCGACCTCCCCCGCCCCCATTCCCGCGCTCATCTCGCCCTCTCCCTCGCCCTCCCCCTCCTCCGCCTCCTCCTCCGCGCCTGTCCCCGCGCGCGGGTCCCACTCCCCGTAGCTCGCATACCCCGCTCGCTCGTATCTCCCCCTCCCCTCCGCCTCAAACCTCGCTCGCGCCTTTCCTGCCTGCCACCTGCCGCTTCTGTTGCTGCTGCCGCCGCGTTGTGAAGAGGGCGCACGCAGCAATGGGGGTCCGGCACGTGGCAATCTCCTGCAACGGGAGAAAGCCGGGGGAAGGGGGAGGGATAAGTGGGCGCTTTTATCGGCGCTGAGAGGCGAGCGGGTGGCGAGACGCGATACAACGGAGGCGAGGGAGTGGCGTGACGCGATACAACGGAGGCGAGGGGGTGGCGTGACGCGATACAACGGAGGCGAGGGGGTGGCGAGACGCGATACAACGGAGGCGAGGGGGTGGCGTGACTCGATACAACGGAGGCGAGGGGGTGGCGTGACTCGATACACGAGAGGAGCAGACTAAAGTGGGAGAGAATGAGGGAGCGGGCGAGTGGGCGAGTGGACGAATAGGCGAGCGAGCGAGAGCGCGAGGGGGCGAGGGACGAACCTGACGAGCGGACACGCTGAGGCTGCACTGCCGCACCGCACAGCCGCACGCAGCCTCGGCCGACCGCCTTGCCATTGGCGCAGCGGCGCTCTCGGCGCAGCGGCTCGCAGCGGCGTCACGATCGTCTCCATGGCGGCTTGCGCTGGCGGCGGAAGGCCGATGGATGGCGGCACTGGCGGAAGAAAAAGATATGCGGGTTACCACTACACCGTTGCGCGATGAACTGGAGGTTTAGCGCGGAATGCGGAGAGGATGAGGGGAGCCGCGAATGCGCTTCGCGAGCCGCTTGAGGAATGATAGGGGTAGATTATAATGGTGACATGGCTGGAGGGAGTGCATAACACGCGGAGAACTCTCAAGGCAGATCAGGGGTTTTTGGGCCGATATGCGTGGCAGTGTTGGATGTTGGGTGCACTCGCTATGGAATTTTGCGTTAAGAAGATATCACCTCTTCATCCTTATAAGAATGAAAGTTGAAAAACAGCATTCCTATATCAAGTGAACATGAGCTTGCGTTTGATAACGGATTAGGGTAAGAGATTCTGATACCCTAATTTTCAAGACGATCGTAGGGTTGTGGCCCGATGTTTGTGATTGGGTTGTTTTGTGCCATGAATATGTTGACGGGAATAGAGTGTTGGCCACGCCCTCGCTTGGGCGAAGCCGATGTAGTGGTCGGGTGCGCGGGAGGTGCGGCCGACCATCCGAAGGGCTCGATGCGTGCTGGTCGACAGAGTTAGTCGACCAGCAGGGAACCGCTGTGATGTCGCCGACGAAGGGAAGCTGGTGGCCTTGTTTGATAAGGGAGGTTGACGAACACGTGCGGGACTTGTGCGCAACCGTCAAATGTGGGAGTTCGACGGCAGAGACCAACCGAGTTGGTTGACGGAGGTGGCAGTCGACCAGCGTGGTGTTCAACAGACGAAGTGGTCGACGAGGGAGGTTGTCGACCAGGGCGCTGGATGGTGGACCCGGTCGACCAGGTAACCTCCTCGACGAGGTTTTCCGGGGCGCGCGAACGTCGTCGAGGCTGCGATGGCAAAGGCGACCTCATGCTGGTATCCTGAGGTCGACGTGGAGCTTCTAGCGCAACTGTCGCCACGTGGCCGACCTGACACGTGCGCGACGGTAGAGAACGTGATTGGTGCAGCGTTGGCAAGCTGCGGACTTGCTTCGTTGGCAGGCCACTCTTCTGCAGCATGTCAAACATTATACATGTTGTATTTGTGTAGGCTGTAGTGGGTTAGCCTATAGGGGGGTCACAACATTAGGGTTTCATATTTGTACTCACAATCCTTGTTAGTCCATCATTCCAGTCCGTTCATTCTGACATGGTTTCAGAGCAGGTCCATCGCTAGGACCGTTCTTAGGGCCCACCGCTACCTACCTACCTACCTACCGTGCGCCTCGTGCGCCCTCGCGCCCTCGTGCGCCTCTTACTACCGCGCGCCCTCGTGCGCCCTCGCGCCCTCGTGCGCCTCTTACTACCGTGCGCCCTCGTGCGCCTTCGCGCCCTCGTGCGCCAATCCCTACCGCGCGCCTTCGTGCGCCCTCGCGCCCTCGTGCGCCTCTCCTTACCGCGCGCGCATGGCCTGCTAGCCACCCACGCGCGGCCAGCTTTCTTTTTAGCGCGCGCGACCCGCTAGCCGCCCGCGCGCGGCCCGTGTTCTCACGCGTGCGACCCGCTAGCTGCCCGCGCGCGCCCCGCCCGTCTGTCGCGACGCCCTGGGGAGCCCGCGAGCGCCCCACCCGTCCGTCGCGACGCCCTAAGGAGCCCGCGAACGCCCCGCCCGACCGTCGCGACGCCCTCAGGAGCCCGCGGACCCCCCGCCCGTCCGTCGCGACGCACTGGGGAGCCCGCGAGTGCCCCGCCCGGTCGTCGCGGCGCCCTCGGGGGTCGCGCGCGCGTCCCCCCCTCGCCCACCCGACCGTTCTGGCGCCTTGGGGGTCGCGCGCCTCCCCCCCTCGCCATCCCCCGCACTCCTCCCCCTTACCCCACCCGTCTTAGGGTTTTTGGGGCGCTGCTGCAGCTGCCGCCGCTGCGATTGCCTCAACTGCCGCCGCCGACCCTGCATCAGCTGCCGTCACCGCCTCTGCAGCAGCTGCCGCCGCCGAGCCTGCAGCAGCAGCCGCCGCCGGACCTGCAGCAGCGGCCCCTACCCAGCCTGCAGCAGTGGCCGCCTCTGGACCTGCAGCAGCTGCAGCCGCCGAGCCTGCAGCAGCAGCCGCCGCTCGACCTGCAGCAGCTGCCGCCGCCGAGCCTCCAGCAGCAGCCGCCGCCGACTCTGCGGCAGCAGCCGCCGCTGAGATTCTAGCAGCTGCCGCCGCCGACCCTGCAGCAGCTGCCGTGGAGATCCCTGCTGCGACCTGGCCCTGCCCCGCAGTTGCTGCGGCCCCGCTGTCCCCACCGTCTTGTGCCCTCCGCGCCTACCACTGGTGAGCTTTGCCCTGCCAGCACTACTCCCGCTACTACTGCTACTACTGCCTTTGCTCCTCCCACTGTCACTGCTCCTGCTGCCACTACTGCTGCTGCTCCTGCCGTGGCCAGATGGAGCTCCAGCAGGCTCGTGAGTGGTACGCCAGTTTAGGCAGTCGGGGTGGCCGTAGTGGTAGTCGCTCTGGAGTGCGTCGTTCGGGAGCCTCTGGTAGTAGACCGGTGCAGCAGCCGTGCCCTCTTCTGCTCCAGCAGGCTCGTGAGTGGTACGCCGGTTTGGGCAGTCGGGGTGGCCGGCGTGGTAGTCGCTCTGGCGTGCGTCGTTCGGGAGCCCCTGGTAGTGGACAGTGTTAAACTGTATTATGCTTGTAGGCTGTAGTGGGGTAGCCAATATGGGGTACAACCCCAACTAGGGTTTCATATTTGTACCCAAACTTCTGCTAGTTGCATCATTCTTGCCTAGTGATTCTGACATGGTATTCAGAGCAGGAGGTCCCTAGGACCTACCGACCGTTTTTTTTTAGGGCCCACCACCGCTCGCATGCGGTTACCACGCTACCCCGTGCCCTAGCCTCGTAGCGCCCTCGTGCGCCCACGTTAGCGCCCTCGCGCGCCCCTCGTTAGCGCCCTCGCGCGCACCCTCGTTAGCGCCCTCGCGCGCCCCTTCGTTAGCGCCCTCGCGCGCCCCTTCGTTAGCGCCCTCGCGCGCCCCTTGCTAGCGCCCTCGCGCGCCCCTCACTAGCGCCCTCGCGCGCCCCTTACCGAGCCGCCCGCTCGCAGCCCGCCCGCCCGCTCGCTGCCCGCTTCGCGGCCCGCTCACTACGCAGCCCGCCCGCCCGCTCGCTGCCCGCTTCGCGGCCCGCTCGCTCGCTGCCCGCTTCGCGGCCCGCCCGCTTCGCAGCCCGCTCGCTCGCTGCCCGCGTCGCGACCCGCTCACTACGCAGCCCGCCCGCTCGCTCGCTGCCCGCTTCGCGGCCCGCCCGCTTCGCAGCCCGCTCGCTCGCTGCCTGCTTCGCGGCCCGCCACTTCGCAGCCCGCCCGCCCGCTCGCTGCCCGCTTCGCGGCCCGCCCGCCTCGCAGCCCGCTCGCCCCGCTGCCCGCTTCGCGGCCCGCCCACTTCGCAGCCCGCCCGCCCGCTCGCTGCCCACTTCGCGGCCCGCCCGCATCGCAGCCCGCTCGCCCCGCTGCCCGCTTCGCAGCCCGCCCGCCCGCCCGCTGCCCGCTTTGCGGCCCGCCCGCCTCGCAGCGTCGCCCGCCCGCCGTGCTGCCCGCTTGCAGCGCCGCCTGCCCGCCGCGCTGCCCGCTTCCCGGCCCGTCCGCCGCGCTGCCCGCTCGCAGCGTCGCCCTCCCGTCGCACTGACCGCTTGCAGCGCCGCCTGCCCGTAGCGCCAGCCTCGCCCGCTGCTCTCTATCCGTGCACAGTCGCCTTCCCCTGCTGCGGCAGCTTGCGTTACTCTGTCACACTGTCGCTATGGCTTCCATTCGCGTGCTGTCGTTCGATGCTGAGGGCCGCCCTGTGCGTTTCACCGCTTGGCTAGATGACCTGCAGCTGTTCCTCCTGAGCGATAGCAAGGAGCATGTGTCGCTCTATGACTACGCGTCTGGTGCTGCGCCTGCCCCTCCTGCCACAGCTGAGCTTAGTGTTCGTTCCCACTGGCAGACTCGTGACGCAGCTGCTCGCCTAGCCATTCGCAGTCACCTGCCGTTAGCTGAGCTAGAGCATTTTGGCGACTGCAAATCCGCTAAGGCCCTGTACGACGCTGTCGTCGCTCGCTACTCCTCGCCTGCCACAGCCGAGCTTAGCCGCCTCATGCTGCCGTACCTGTTCCCCGATCTGTCCACCTTTACTACAGTCGCCGATCTTATCACCCACCTGCGCACTAGTGATGCTCGCCTGCGTGCCGCCCTTCCCACCGAGTTCTGCGCTAAGAACCCCCCTCCACTGTACTGGACACTCCACTTTATAGTCACTCGTCTCCCTGACACCCTCCGCTCAGTTCGAGACCACTTCCTTGCTCGCTGTCCCACTGAGCTCACAGTCGCCCTCCTAGAGGAGCACCTGCTCGCGGCCGAAAAGAGCATTGTAGCTGTCGGTGCTGCTCGTGGCGCTCCTCGCACCCCCATCTTTGAGGGGTGTTCTCCCTCTCCCCTCGCTCCCTCCTACGCTGCTGCTGCTGCTGTTGACTTCCTTGGTGCTGAGTCTGTTGGCGCTGCTTCTGCTCCTGGTGGGAGGCGCCGCACCGGCAAGGGCAAGGGGGGCAAGGGTGGTGGTGGTGGCGCTGGGGGAGGAGGTGGGGGAGGTGGGGGGGGAGGCGGTGCTGGAGGGAGCGGTGGCGGGAGCGCTGGTGGGAGTGGGGTCGGGGGTGGAGACGGGGGCGGCGGAGGAAGCAGTGGCAGTAGTGGCGGCGGCGGCAGTGGCGGCGGTGGCGGTGGTGGCGGTGGTGGCGGTACCGGTCGGAGCGGTGGTAGTGGTGGCGGCGGAGGTCGGAGTGGAGGCACTGGCTCGGGCCAGAGCTCCCAGCAGCAGCAGCGTCCCCAGACGACCCAGCAGCTTCGTGAGTGGCTTGCTCAGCGTGGGACGTCGGGGGCCAGTGCCCGCTGTTCTTATGTCATTCGCACAGGTGACCGCAAGGGACAGACGTGTGGGAGGTTCCACACCCCGTACCGCTGCTTCTCCCGCCTTGACGACGCTTGGCG